GTTGTTCCTCTATGCTCCTTCAGCTCTGTTTTTAGTTGTTTCATAGGGTTTGTCACTGTTGTTTGTGATCTTATCACCCCAACTAAATTATGAAGTCCTACAGGAAAAGGTTATGTGTTCCATCTTTGAACTTTCTGACTATCACCAGGAATTCCTCAGGGATTACTCCTCGGAATGAAAAGTAAATAGCACCAGTTAGCAAAGTCGCCATTTAAGTATGTTTATAGGTGGGTTTTAATTGTATTACTTAATAAGACCTTTACATTACTGACCGTGGGATTTATTGACTTAGACCTGGACAGCCTGAATCTTTTGAAAGTAACTTCCCTCAGATTAAATTCTGCTCATTTCATATTTATTTAAAGTAACTATCTCTTTTATTAAACTTTGATTGTATTTTGTGCTTTTATAGCCATGTGAATAATCAGGATTTAGAAATAAACATATTGATACATATTATTGAAATGCTCTAGGATTTCAGAATTTTAATAAATGTTGATTATTTTTATGTCCCATTGACAGGTTTTAGACTAATACAGACATGTTTATTTTGAAAATTAAAAAATATTTTAAAATATTCATTTTAATGAATGAATTTCTTTCATTCATCTAAGATTATACAGAGTTCCTTCCCGGTAGTAAATCCACAGAATACTGAGAGGGAAAAGTGAAGGGAAGAGATTCAGATATATTAGACCTTGACCTAAGTTGTTGTGATTCACAGTATTTTTTAAAATGTATTTTGAATTAAAGAAGAGCAGTTCTGGAGATAACCTTCTTAAAACAACTTCTGGTACAATATGATAACATTTTATCATTTAGTGTAACACTTGAACGTCCTAACCAAGACAACGTGAGAAGCAGAATTTTGTCGTCCTCATGAGTATTTGCTTTCCTGGCATCTCTTTAATGTCAGAGCCTTGACTGGAGCGCATAGCATCACACTGCTGATCAGCAACAAAGAGTCTTGCCCTGTTCTGGAAACCAGTGTAACAATGTCTGCTTGAAGAGGTTGTCTGCATTTCCAAATGTAAATTTTACAGAAGAGCAAACACAGTGTTCACACTACATCATCTGACAGATTGCCTGAGGCACAGAAGTTAGAAAATCCCTAGTGCTTGCTGCATTTTGCTAAACTATCCATTAATTTGTTTTGTTGATTTCTGCCGTGAGAGAACAAAAAAGATGGGACCCACAGTATCTATTCTAATATTCTTTTATATTTGTAAATAAAATACTTGGGAATGGCCCTTGAGGAGAATAATAAATGCTTTTATGATATTGTTTTGTACAACTGGGTGTTACACATGATGTAGCTTAGAAAGTATATCACTTCCATGCTCACCTGCCATAAATTGCATGAATTCTTGGGCAACACATAATCTTCATTGCTTTTAGACTCTGCTAAATTCTGGCAAGATCCTTTGTTTAGCTAAAATTAATAACACTTGAGAATAATATCTCTTCTTCAAATATAACTTTAGTATGCTATGTTAGAACAAAATTCAGCTTAAATATTATGGGAGTCACTTGTCAAACCATTTAAAAATTCAAGAGTTTAACTTTATTTGAGAATATGCTTTTAGGTACTTTAAATATAATATGTGAATTATTTTTCCAAAAAAAAAAAAGAATTCTCATCTTTCTCTCCAAGGTATTAATCCTCAGAAACTGTGGATATTGATGTCTAATTTTTCTTTCCTGGAAAAGAAAAGAAATGAGTATTTTCAGATACGTAGATATGTAAATAGATACAAGAAGGGGGGTGCCTGTGTGGCTCAGAGGGTTGGGGCCTCTGCCTTCAGCTCGGGTCACGGTCCCGGGGTCCTGGGATTGAGCCCTGCATCGGGCTCTCTGCCCAGCGGGGAGCGTGCTTCCTCCTCTCTCTCTGCCTGCCTCTCTGCCTACTTGTGATCTCTGTCTGACAAGTAAATAAATAAAATCTTAAAAAAAAAAAACCATATATATTATATGCATGTGTACATGTATTTGGATATATGCATAAACATGAAACAAACATTTTGTAGATTATTTTGCTTAAAACCACTCATCTTACGATTTTAATTTTGCATGTTAATCTTAATGAGGTAATTACAAGGAAGAGAAAAGTAAATATCAAAAGAAGGCTATATTAAAATTAGCTTCTCTCTGGGTTGCCTGGGTGGCTCAGTGGTTAAGCGTCTGCCTTCCACTCGGGTTGTGATCCCAGGGTCCTGGGATCCAGCCCCATGTTGGGCTCCCTGCTCAGCGGGAAGCCTGATTCTCCCTCTCCCACTCCCCCTGCTTGTGTTCCCTCTCTCACTGTCTCTGTCTCTGTCAAATAAATAAATAAAATCTTTAAAAAAATGAAATAAGATAAAATTAGCTTCTCAGTATTGAGACAGAACTGTAAATTCACTGTGACAGAGAATAAAAGGGCTCCTCTGGACAGCTTACACAGCAACCCCCACTAGTGGGTTTGTTATTTTATGAGGCTAAAAGTGTAGGTTTCCCTAGACTTCTAAAGTCTAAACTAAAGCCACAGATTTTAGAAGGGAATGTGACAGAGAACACCAGCCTCTTTAAAAAGTAGCCACATAGTTATACTTTACAGACATTATTTTCCATGACATGGGTATAATTTTTGATCACGAATTGATACTTTTAACTATTTTGATACTATCATGTCCTCATCAATATCGGGGGTATCATCTTCAAAAATGGAGGACTCACATTTTAAAAATATATGAAATATATCTATACCGTTTTCTCCACGTAGAATACTGGTTGGCAACTGATGGTGCTTCTGGGATAGCATTTCAAGTCATGAATGGACTTAAGTCTTTCCCTTCAGCAAAATTCTACATTTGCACTTAGAGCATGTGCCATAAGGTGACAAACATTGGTCATGCATCAAGCAAGTCAAAACTGGTACTCTTGTCAAGACAAGGGAAATACCCAGTTCCTGCCCATGCTAGCCGTCCTCTCTGACCTGAGGTGGGGAGCACTGAGAAACACTTGTAAGTCCAAAACCCGGACCTTATCTTAGGACTAGAGAATGCTTCCCCTCCCCCCACACCTCATTGCCGCGCCAGTAGGGGCCTCATTATGGCAATTCTTTTGACCCAACACATCATGTCTGGCTATGAAGAAAAAAATTACAAGAAAGGAGAAAAGTTAGAACCGTATAAAATGCACAATTAGAATAGTACAATGCAGAAAAAGAGTAGAAGACAGAATAAGAACAAAGAGCAAGGGCAACAAGCAGGAAACGGTAACAAATAGGGCAGATATTAATACAGCTTTATCAACAATCACTTCGAACATCATCAGTCTAAAAAGAGATTATCAGAGTGGATCCAAAAACAAGATCCAACTATATGTTTTGAAAAAGAAACCCACTCTAAATATAAATACAAAGATTAACAGTAAAAGGATATTGAAAAACATACCATGCTAACATTAATCAAAAAATATAATTTGAAAATTCATTAAAAATATAACACACTAACATTAATTTTAAAAGGGAGTAGCTATTTTAATTTCAGACAAAGAAGACTTCAAAACAAGGAAGATTATTAGGGATAAAGAAAGTCATTACATATTGATACATTGGTCAACCCTACAAGAAGCCATAACAATCTTTAGTGTGTGTGTGCACCAAAAACAGCATCAAACCACATGAGTCAAAAATTGACAGAACAACAAAGAGAAATAGATGCATCCACTATCATACGTGGAGTCTTCAGTACCCCTTTCTCACAAATGGACAGGTCCAGCAGGCAAAAATTCAGTAAGGACCCTGTTGAACGCAACAGCACCGTCAGTCAACCGGAAGTAGTGGACATCTATAGACAACATCAACAAACAACAGAACACATTCTTCCAACTCACGTGGAACGTTCAATGAAGATACACCACATTCTGTGCCACGAAACATATCTACACAAATATAAAAGAATAGAAATCGTACAATATGTGCAATGAGACCACAATGGAATTAAACTGGAAATCAATGATGGCAAGGTAGCTGGAAAATCCCCAAATGTGTGGAGATTAAACAACACAGTTTTAATCGATACGTGAGTCCAAAAAGAAACCTCAAGAGAGATTTTTAAATCTTTGAACTAAGTGAAAATGAGAGCGAACCTGTCAAATCTTTTTGTCAGAAGAAATAACATTCAGCATGTTGACAGGTAGATTTAAGAAACATTCATTCGTGCAATGGTATTATTGCACTGAGTTCGCGGTGTAGTTGAGATAGTTTTTTTTTGTTTGTTTGTTTGTTTTTTTTTGCCCATCTCTCTGGACTGTGGAGAAAAAGAAACGGTGCACAAGTTATAGCAGAGGAACTTGTTCCCATAGACAGTTTGGAGCTAGAATAAGTAAGTTTATTAAATACTTATTAATTGCCAAATGATGGAAGAATTGCTAACCTGGGTGCATGAATCATGGATGGGCCTTGGTGAGAGAACGGCGTGAGGTAGTAGTGGGTACATGGGCTTATGAATACTATGTGCATTTTTCTGGGAAGCAGGTCCATGGCTTATATTTATGACCCCAAATTTTCTAGTCACTTTTTCTGCCAGTCAACTGGTGTCCATTGCATTGTGACTCTCGTCCCACCAAAAACGTGCACAATGGATGGGAGTTAGGAGAGAAGAGAGATACTGAATCCAATGAGAATTTAACAAAAGAGTAACGAGAATCTTCTGGGTGCCACCCTTACTCTTACTGGCAGAAGATACAATTTTCATAAAAACACAGAGTCCTTGCTTTTGTGGAGGTTATTCTACATAATATTTAGACTATTTTAAAATTCAGCAAACAAGGACCAAAACTGAGGGCAGAGGAGAAGCCATACTTGTTGCGCTCACTTGTATTTGGCTACAGTTAATGGGAAGAGGGTATAAATACTCAGTGGGAAGTGGTTTAAGAGAGGAATGCCTGATCATTTTGTTTCAGCACTCCGGTACACAGTGTCTCCTGTAACACTAAGTGAAAAATATTTTTCTTTCAAGGTAACGGAACTGCACAACATCAAAAATATAACCAGACTGCCTCGAGAGACAAAGAAGCATGCCGTGGCAATTATCTTTCATGATGAAACGTCAAAGACATTTGCCTGTGAGTCAGGTAAGCAATTATAGCCCGGTCTACAGCTTGTGGAAGTTGAACTACTTCAGAGACAATGGCCCAGATGGATTAAGTCATACCCCTGAATAGGGAGGCTTCTTGTGATAAGACTGTGCTATGGAAGACTGTAGGGAGAAGCTCAACGTATTGATTTCTACAGATGTTTGGGGTGCTTGTTTATTATCTGTCTGTGTCTGGATTTTGCTCCCAGGTGGTCGGAGGACTCTTGAGGTTTCTATTCAAGCTTGAAGAATTAAGTAAACAGTGCCTGGGAGGTATTGTTAGGGTGAGATTGTGACTTGTATTCTGCTTTCTGCTGGGTGTAGCTGTAGGCATTTGGTGGGAAAATAATCACACCGCCATGCAGAGGTGTGGGGCAAAGCACAGCTGAAGTCCCCAGACATCCCAAAACTGAACTCTGAGCAATTGGTTGCTTTCATGGGTTCTCAGTACTACAAGAAAATACATTTCAGACTGAATTTTAGCATCCCAGCTCATAAAGCACTCTGACATCGCTGAGACGTATGGCAGCTTATAGTTTGAACCTGCAGTGTTTTTCATTTTGAAATCCCTGTGCTATGCAATGTATTAGCTGGCTTATTATAGCTTTTTAAAGATTTTGCTCAATGAAATGGTGCGTTTGTTTTATAATAGATGGAAGCGAAAAGCACTAAGGGTTTGAAAGATGTGGACTTAAAATTATAGTGAAGTCTTTGGTAGAAGCCTTACTGGGTTGTTTTTTTGTTTTGTTTTGTTTTTAAAGAAAGTAAAGCTTCTGGATTTATAGTTAAAGTTTATAGGTGTAATTAATACCAGGTTCTCTTATTCTAAAACTGATAATGTCACCTTGCCTAAATAAAACTGTTCACAGCTCCTCACCTACACTTTTCTTAATTTTGCTAAACTGAATTGGAATTTATCAATATGTTTTTCCTTGGAAGCCTTTCATCCCTTTTGCCATACTTCTCTTCGCTCTTCATCTGGCTTCATTTCATCATTTAAAATTGACTTTTGGCACTGCACAGAAGTCTGTTAACTGGTGATATCAATTCCATTTCGTAATCGAACCCGTCCCAACCTTGCTGGTATCATTTGTTAACATCCAGAAGTATTTGTGCCTTCTTGTTCACTGTCTTAAAACTGTCTCACCACATCACTTTGTTCTGAGCTCTTAGATAATGTCTCATATGAAAACTAACAACCAGAAAATTGGTTTTCCAAAAAAGATAAAAGATAATTTTCACTCCTGTTTGTGTACTTCAATTTTCACTACTGCCTTACAGTTTTGAAATTATACTGGCCATGTGTTGGATACGTACACAACACTGGAGTCTGTTATTTCAGATAAGAATGATACTGAATTATGTTTCTGAAATGCAGATGCAGAGTTGTACCCCACATATATAACACTGGAAGCTTTTTAAGATTTTAAGATTTTATTTATTTATTTATTGTGGTGGTGGTGGTTTCACGGGTCATGTAAGATTTTGGAGAAACAAAGACTCCTACCCTAAAACAAAACGGCCTTAATTTCCAAGAGAAGAATTTCGAGACAGTGAAGCTGAAGCTAGATCCAAATGTAAAAATAAAAGAATGTATTTATTTGAATTCTTGCCAGAGTTTTCAATTCATTTGAATTATGACTTATTTGGATTATTTGTTTTTAAAATCACTTTTGCGTATGTAGATGTAGCAGTCTGCTTGAAGCTAATAGTAAAAATGTTTAAGAAACAATGGCACGATTTTATTAAATTTTCTTAACTTCATGGCACATGACAATGGAAAAAAAGAAAGGACTTGAAACACATAAACAGGGAATTTGAGTACTTCTTCTAGCAAATTATATTTTTTAGATTGATGTTAAGATCAATAGTCCATGTCTGCTGATAAAATGGCAAAATCATTTGGAAAAAAGACTCCCAACTACAAAGCAGTCACAGATGTGAAAATCAAAACAATAATACAGTTAAAGCCAAAATTAAAAGGAGCTCTCACATTTATTTCTAATGCGAATGCAGGTCAAAGTGTGTTCTCATGATAGCTAGTGACTATGTGAATTGCATCAATTATTTTTTTCAAGAAAACTGGCAGCTACTATTAAATAAGTATGCATCCCCTTGACTCAGTGAGTGTCTTTGGGAAAATATCCTGTAGAAACATACATACCAGTACATGAAGTCATAGGTTTAAGCAAATTGTGTGTAATGACAACAAAATTGGAAACAAATGAATGGCTATCAAGAAAATACTTGAACAAATTATGGTGCTTTGTTATCACGAAATATTATGTAATCCCTAGAAAGAATTCTAATTAAGCCAATTAACTGGAAGACATTTCTATGAATTTTAGTACTTCAAGCAAAACAAATCAACAGAGAACTGTATACTGAATAATCACATTTGTAAAAGAGACAACGAGAGACATAGCATGTGTTTTACCAAGAGTTACCTGGGGTAAGAGGGAATAATAAGGAGGTGGGCGGAAAAGGAAGCTGGGGAAAAAATGCAAAAGTGAAAAAGGAAAAGAAAATGAACAGAAGAAAATACCCAGCGTATAAACTATCCCACTTACGTGAAATTATGTGTTTGTGATTGTGTGAATGAACATATCCAGTTTTTTAAAGCCAGTCAGTCATCAGGGAAATGCAAATTAAAACCACAGTATATCACTATGCACCTATCAGAATGGCTAAAATTTTTTAAAAAATAACACCACCAAATTCTTGTGAGGTCACAAAGAAACTAGATCCCTCATGTGCTGCTGACTGAAACTTAAAATGATACAGACACTCTGGAAGGTGGTTAGCAGCCTTTTATAAAATTAAACAGGCCATTATTACACAACCCAGCAATTGCATTCTTGGATATTTAACTCAGAAAAAAAATGGAAATTTATATTCATACATAAACATACACACATACAAAAAGTACTCATAATAGCTTTTGCTCATAATCGACCCAAACTGGAAAGAACCCAGATATCTTTTAATAAACTGTGGTATACTCACATACCATGAAATTGTCCTCAGCCATAAAAAGGAACAAATTACTGATAAAAGCAGCAGCCTGGATGAATCTTGACTGAATTATGTCAAGGGAGAAAAAGACAATCCAGTATGGATGTTCCTCAAAAATTAAAAATAGAGCTACCCTATGACCCTGCAATTGCACTACTGGGTATTTACCCCAAAGATACTGATGTAGGGAAAAGAAGGATCATATATACCCCAGTGTTCATAGCAGCAATGTCCACAATTGCCAAACTGTGAAAAGAGCCAAGATGCCCTTCAACAGACGAATGGATACAAAGATGTGGTCCATATATACAATGGACTATTACACAGCCATCAGAAAGGATGAATACCCAGCTTTTGTATCAACATGCACAGGAATGGAGGAGATGATGCTGAGTGAAATAAGCCAAGCAGAGAGAGTCAATTGTCATATGGTTTCACTTACTTGTGGGGCATAAGGAATAACACGGAGGACATTGGGAGATGGGGAAGAGAAGAGAGTTGGGGGAAATTGGAGGGGGAAACAAACCATAAGAGACTGTGGACTCTGAGAAACAAACTAGGGTTTTGGAGGGAATGGACTTGGGGGGGTTGGGTGAACCTGGTGGTGGGTGTTAAGGAGGGCATGTACTGCATGGAGCACTGGGTGTGGTGCATAAGCAATGAATCTTGGAACCCTGAAAAAATTAAATTTTTCAAAAAGCCAATCCCAAAAGATGTATTTTGTGATTCCACTTACATAACATCTGTGAAAAGATAAATTTGAGAGATAAAGGACATTTTAGTTGTCAGAGGTGATGAATGGGATTGGGGGTTTGGAGTCCCAGGGGGATATATGGTCATAAAAGTTATATGAACTTGTATTGGCACTGAACAGTTGTCTTGATTGTAATGGTGCATAAACAAACTTATGCAGGTGGCAAGTTGTATAGAAGTCACACATACAAGTAAGTGCAAGTAAAACTGTGGAAATCAGAATAAGATCAGTACCCTATCAATGTCAGTATCTTGGTTATGATATTATACTATCATTTTGCAAAATATCACCTTTGGGGGGAAGTGGGCAAAGTTTAGACAGAATTTCTCTGTAGTATTTCTTACTACTACATGTGAATCTACAATTATCTCAAAAAACCTTGCAGTAAAAAATACATCTAGACTATCTCTAAGGCCATCTGTAATATATATTTTTTAAGTTAAAAGACAGGGTAGGGAGGGACTTGCAGGAAGGAAAAGAGTGTTTGGCTTATTCTAATATGATAAACAGAAACTGACAACAGTTAAGGACAAACAATGAAAATAATCCTAGATGTGTGCCTTTGTAGCTTGTGTATGTTTTATGAGCACAAAGAAACATGGGCAAGGGTACATACATGTGCATCTTCTAACATGGACTCCTTGCATGAGCTCCTCCCCAGCCTGCTACACACACACATCTCCCAACCACTTTCCCACTGGCTTCCATTTGGCACCATATTTCATGCCTCTTCGTACCTCTGCCCTCCACACACAGAACCCTGACCTCAGACCTCACATACCCTGTTCACAACCTCTGTCAGATTTAAGCTCAATGAAGACATGACCATATTTTCTTTCTCACCTCAGAAAGCCAGCAAACACAAATTTTGGCCTCAAAATTTGTTAAATTAATGAAGTAATAAATGAGTAAAAATTTGTATTTAAGTTTTGTTATAATGCTATATTTATCATTCAGCTTTTCCTAGGAGATAGTTTTTCGAAAAATGATTTTTAGAGGCTAATTTGGCAGCATGAGGAAAATTGTTTAAATTGCCAAGTAACAGATTGTTGTGTGTTTGTGATGGTGTGTGGGGGAGTAAGTGATCATTATGCTGTGTGTGTGTGTGTGTGTGTGTGTGTGTGTGTGTGTGTGTACATTGCCACGGCCTGCCAGGTCTGCTGCAATAACTCTATGAGTAGGATATTGTGGGACACAAATAAGAATTTCTGGAGTTTGTCTATTACTTG